GGCCCGAGGTACTGACGCTCCATAACCCCGCGCATGGCCAACGCCGCCACCTCCGCTCGCCATGATCGTCACCAACTCCCTTATCATCTCCTCCTGCACCTTCCCCCTCACGCTGGTGAGATGGTCAACGGCGTCCTTCTCAAACTTTCTCTTCTTGTTACCTTGAAGAAGAGCATGTGTCCACCGCATTAGTAGCAGTAGCTCTGGCCGTCGTAACAAGTAGCTTTATGAAACTTGCGTTCTTTGTTGACTAGCTAGCATATAGGCGTGTTGTTTATGTGGACGTATCCTTATATAAATCACAAGAGTGTTCTGTAGCCATGAATGTAGATCATTTGCATGTGGTATTCAACCAAAAGCCAGAAACCATACTCTCTTATCACCGAAACATCATAGGGACATCCGGATTAGCAGTTCATTTAGTCATAGTTTAACATCAAATGATGCACACACAAAAATCGTGCAATGGAGCCTCCGGTCAATGGATTCCAATGCCAACTTTTTAGTTTTGGGTGATGATGAACAATAGTTACTTATTTTGGTAATTAGCGTACACCAAGTTGAACGTGATGGTCATAACTATGCAAAATTACAATCATCCTACAATGTAATCACTAGTTACCCGAACTTAGCTGTGACTTATCTATCTCAGAATATCTCAAAATTTGCGCAAATAATACTGAAACAAAGTGCCCCAATCCTTGGTTCGTCCCTTAGTGACCACTCGGTGATTTGTTCTCACATTATTTCTTCAGATACCTTTCGGTGCCACACTCAGTTATTTTCACTAAAAAAATCACCACAGCTTTTGCATGTCTTGCACCTTCCTCTGTCTGGCTTGAAGGATCTGTAGCATCTAGCATGGCATGCTTGGTTGTTCTTCCCCAATATCTCACTCCAACTGCATTATTTTAGACACCTATGGCAACACTCAACTACGACAAGAAAAAGGAAACTATAAATGGCTCCGCAGCAATGCCCAGAACAGATCATCATGAGTTTGCCCAACACCATGTTCATCCAATTTTGCACTGTTGTCATGCATGTGTTGGTGCACGTTCACATATGGTTTATGATATTGTTTAATTTTGGAGGAAGCATAATGTGTGTGTTTTGCACTTCCCTATGATATTGGGTCTCTTTCTCATCATCTTAACATCTAAGTAAATGACACGTGTATATTATGAATCTTGGAGAAAACTTAATGTCTTCTTCCCTTTGTATTGAAAGAATTGCTTGTACCTGCATATTCATACAATTTTAATAATTTAATTGTACTAGCTAAGCTAGTTCATCGTTTTTTGCATTATTGCCATGCGCTTCCGAGGAATAGTTGTCATGTACTTTTATTATTCACATCTAGCCTTCATGCATGCTATCTTGCCAACGACAGAACGCGGCTAGGCTAGCCGATGGCGGCAGCCACCTAGAAGACAAACGATTTGCCTGATGAAGCGGCGGTGGAATTTGGCAATGTCCTAGATGAACTTTTTTTTGTCTAGGTTAGATGAACTTGTGTACAACATACACTCTCATCTAGTTGTGCGGTACTCAACCAAAACCATAACCTTGTATCATCGGGAGCACGGAGGTCCCCCAAGCACACAACATTTGACGGAATTTGGATTATTTTGGCTGACATATTGTATACTTCCTCAAAATAACATTTCTATCACATACATCACTGCAATCAACTAGCAAATGAATGTAGTAGTCTTTGCATGTGGCACCGAGTAAAAGTCACAAGATAATCTCAGGTTCATCAAATTTGCAAGCTGCATTCATTAGATTAGTTATCTCATTTCAGACACGGTTAAGAACAAATTGACTAGATAGTAAAACTATATCATCCCCGATATAATCCATTGCAACTTGCTACTATTTTACAAGCAAAGCAGGCAAGTAATCCATTCCCAATTACATTGAATTAGCTTGAAACCTGTGATGTGGCATGTGTAGTTTTTTCATTGCTTTCTTGTTAACCCTTCGTGGAGCTCCATAACTGTTAACCCTTCGTGGAGCTCCATAACTCGTGCATCCATCGCCGGAGCTGCCTCCTCCTCTTGCTTGCAACATCCCGCTCGTCATGACCGTTACCAATTACCTCGTCACCTCCTCATGCACCTTCCCGCATAGAACTCACTAGATTCGATACGATTCTAAATTACAGGTAAAAATAAAGTGTGCTTTTAAAACGTTACCACCTTCAATGTGCCACACACTTCGCACAAAACTAATAACAAAAAGTCACAATCATGCTAGAAGGTAATCACCGTTCACCAAATAGTCAAGCAAACAAAAAACAAATACATGCAGAACGTGTTTAACTAGGTTGTGGCTTTAGCATGTCAAGTTTGCACACGTGCAAGGACATATAAGTCTCGCCTTCCATCTAGAGGTCCTTCAAAAGGTGGCAGACTGCTTAAATATTCTTGATTCTCCTGTTCCACCTGGAGATCCTTCCACATTGCCATATACTCTTTATATCTAGCATTGGAGTGATTGTTTGCTTTACCCCAATATCTAACGTTGATTGCATATTTACTTTTGACACCTACAACAACTATTATGATTAAAAAAATAGAGTACTAAGCCGAGGAGTCATGCATACATCTGTCTACAGAGCAAACCATGCATGTCTCTGCCTAGCGGCCTCGCCAATTTATGTTGGGAAGAGATGCATGTGTTTGTGTTTTACTAGCTCGCTCATATCCATTGTTCATTGCTGTCATGCATGCGTTGTGCTACATTCACATCTAGTATGTTTACGAAGGACCAAGTACGGCTGATCCACTGAGCATTGACCCATATGGACAGACTACGTTAGAATTTGGCTACATTGTTGAGCTTCCTGCTAGTCTACATGTTCTAAATAATCTTAGCATCACATCAAATCCAATCTAGCAGTGAACGTAGAACATTTAGCAGTTCATTCGGTAAAAAGTTAGCCATTCGGAGGGAGTAGATAATTTGTATGCAGTATTCAACCAAAAGCACAAAACCATTTATTTCATAGGGAATCACCACTATCCTACAATGTTGATCAATCAGTCAAACACACAAAATGCATATCTGTACTACTCCCTTCGTTCCATATTAAGTGTTGCTCAGACGGATGTATCTGATGGGACAGAGGAAGTACTATATATAGTGTAGCCGTTTGCAAGTTTGGATCCAAGCACTATAATGCAATTTCTACTGTTGATTGGACCCATCTGATGACCCAGGATGCTTGGAAAAAAGTATCTCCAGATCTCCCGGTGATTGTTTCGCGCCAACGGGGGTCCTTAGCATGTAGCAGGGGCATGCTTGTTTGTTCTTCCCCAATATCCCACTTCAGTTGCATAGTAGTTTTGACACCTATGGCAACTATCAACCATGATAAAAAAAACAGGAAACTACAAATGGCTCAGGTCATGCCTGACTCTGCCCATCTGCTCACCAATTTATATGGAAAAAAGATGCCTTTGCACTGTACCTACTAGATCATCCAACATGTGCCAATGGACACTCACATAAGGTTTATGATATTGTTCAGGAGGAAGCAAAATATGTGTGTTCCTACATTTTCACTTTTTGAGCGCATGACTGAGGACCAAGTATGGCACTTTCGTCTGTAGCGTGAAGCAAAAATTTGCATGGAAGGGTTGCCCTGCTTACTACTACTACTACTGATCGAATTTGGCAACATTATTGACACTCATATTTTCCTCAGTAGAATGATCTTAACCTCTGATAAAGCCCAATTTAGCAGTGAACCAAGAAATCTAGCACTGAAGAAACCATAAAATCATATAATTCCGTACCATCAAAACAAATCAGACAAATAAAATTGAGTTCCATGCTGGAATACAAGTAAGCAACCTTTCCCAATTACTATCAGTTGGCAGTTGCATCAAAGATCGAACATGTGTAAAATAGTTTCAAGCCACTAGGCCTGCATACTAGCGCCATCGCCGTGGCGCTCCATGACGCGACGCATGGCCAACAAAAGCCCAAAACTGTAATCTCCTATCACCCAGATGTCATACGGCAGTCCATAGCAGTGCATTGGGTCACAGTTTGACAACAAAACGATGAGAAAAATAAAACTGTCGGTTCCCACCACATTTTTTGCTAATACTGAATGTGAATCACCATCATATTACAATGTTGATCACTAATCAACCAAACACACAAAGTGCATATAGTAAGTTGGGTTGTGACAAAATCTATTTCAAATATGGACAAATACTACAATAATCGTCTCTCTTAGTGTTTGTTTCTCGCTAACAAACTTGCACAAGCATTTTGTGCAGGGCTCAGACCTTCTTTTGTCGACTTCATGGATCCTTAGCATGTAGCAAGGTTCGGCTTCTCTCCAGTTGGTCTGTTAGTGCATCCGTAATGTAGATACCCAAATCTATCAAAGGCTCTCCTTTCTCCTCCTTAATTCAGTTATTATTACTTGGAAAAACAGCTTGGAGCCAAATAGAATGACCCAAACATTATATGAAACTAGTTCAGTACTGTTCACTTCTCCTGAAACTAGATCTGAACCTGTTGTGTCCAGCACCTGAAATGTATTCAGTGATGCATGTAGCAGAGGCATGCTTGGTTGTTCTTCCCTAATATCTCAATTCAGCTGAGGAAACTACAAATGGCTCAGGCGTAATACAGCAAAACCAATCATGCTTGACTGCCGATCTGCAAGTTCATCCAACTTTGCAGTGCTGCCACGCATGTGACCATGTACACTCACACCAGGTTTATGATATTGTGAAGGAGGAAGCATAATATGTATGTTCCTGCATTTCCACACATTTTCAGCGCTGAGGACAAGCAAAAATTGCATGGAAGGGTTGCATACTACTCCTACTGCTGATTGAATCAGCATTGTTGACAGTCATATGACTTTGCTGCTAATCCAGATATTATATCAGGACTTTGTTAGGCATATATTTCCTCAGCAGAATTATCTTAGCCTGGGATAAACCCAATTTAGCAATGAACCAAGAAATCTAGCACTGAAGAAACCATGTAATCATATAATCCCGTACCATCAAAACAAATCAGACAAATAAAATTGAGTTCCATGCTGCAATACAAGTAAGCAATCGTTCCAATTACTATCAGTTTGCAGTTGCATCAAAGATCGAACGTGTGTAAAATAGTTCCAGGTCACTAGGCCTGCATACTGGCGCCATCGCCGTGGCGCTCCATGACCCGGCGCATGGCCAGTGCCGCCGCCTCGCTCGCCTGCAGCGTGCCGCTCGCCATGAGCGCCGCAAACTCCCTCATCACCTCCTCCTGCACCTTCCCCCTCGCGCTGCCAAGAGGGTCAGCCACAGCCGGCGCTGCTGCCGCCGCCGCGGCTTTCTCCGGAGTCTGCTTCTCGACCTTCTTCTCTTCTTCCTGCTTGGAAGAAGAGCCAGTGGGCGCTGGACTAGCAGCGGCGGCAGTTGTAGAACTTGTAGGTGCTTTGCTGGTCGCCGTCGCCGTCGCCGTCGCAGCCGTTGGCTTCGGAACAGAGAGTGAGGCCGGAGTGGGCACGAACTGCATGGTCTGGGGCGCGGCGTTGTTCCTGAGTGTGGCCTCGAGGTTCTGGATCATGGGCATAATCATAGCACCCATGGGGCTGGACATGACCTCGTTGGGCAGGTTCAATATGGGGATCCCGGCCCCGCGCTACCGCCCGTCTGCTCTTACAGATGAAGAAGCTTTTGAGGAGTGGACCTTGGCAATGGCGGAGCTAGAAAATTTGCAAAGCCTAGGCATACCGCAAGTCACTTTTTTTTAAGTACTTTACTTTGATGTACCAAGAACCATATGTATCGCATATTTGGATAAATGCACTCTATGTACTAGTGTTTCATAGATCATGTATCTTTTTTCAGAAGGATCATAGATCATATATTTAACAAAAAAGTGGGCACTACTCACACAACTAACCATTTTGGTACCCTAGGGGAATCGATCGATTGATTGCAGGCTATGACTGTTCGCGTGTTCCTCTGATTGATCGATCGCTGGAGATGCGCGCCCACGACAGCCTTTGCTGCGCTAGGGCAAGACACTCCTCCCAGCACTATAAAAAGCAACCCACCCACAACATAGTATCTCCCCTCCTCTCGGCACCAGCAGCAAGCACACGCAAAACTCACAAGCAGCTAGCTAGTTAGCTATGACCCAAATGCTAGTGCTCGGTGTTGTTGCCATATTCCTCACCTCCTTGCTCCTCCTGGCAATGTCGACATCACGAGTAGAGAAGCACCTCCACCTCATAGGCTCCCTCCCACACGTCTCCCTCGGAGACCTTTCAAGGAAGCACGGTATGCTCCTCCGACTCGGCGCCATTCCCACGCTCGTCGTGTCTTCCCCTAGCGCGGCAAAGGCTGTCCTGCGCACCCAAGACAACGTCTTCGCGTCCCGGCCTCCCTTCACCATAGGCGACATCCTCTACACAGGCTCCACCAACATCGCCAATGCCCCCTACGGCGAAGCGACTACTTGTGGCAGATGAGAAAGATCATCACAACCCATGTGCTCACGGCCAGGAAGGTCCGCTCCAACCTCACCTCCTGCGAGAAGGAGGTGCGACTTGTCCTGGCCAAGCTAACGCAGGCACATTCTTGTTTGTTCTTCCCCAATATCCCAACTTCTCTTGCATATTAGTTTTGACACCTATGGCAACTATCAACCATGATAAAACAAAAACAGGAAACTACAGATGGCTCGGGGCATGCCCGACTCTGCTCACCAATTTATATGGAAAAAAGATGCCTTTGCACTGTACCTACTAGTTCATCCAACATGTGCCAATGGACACTCACATAAGGTTTATGATGTTGTTCAGGAGGAAGCAAAATATGTGTGTTCCTACATTTTCCACTTTTTCAGCGCATGACTGAGGACCAAGTATGGCACTATCGTCCGTATCGTGAAGCAAAAATTGCATGGAAGGGTTGCCCTGCTTATACTAGTCCTACTGCTGATTGAATTTGGCAACATTATTGACAGTCATATTTATTTTTTTAGAACATAGACGCCAGGGACGTCCGGCTTTAACTTAATAAAGCCCACAACATAGGCAGCGTGCATGACATAACAAACCAACACTCGGAACCACGAAACAAATCTCGCAGGGTCTAAGATCACAGCAACGTAAGAGAACGGTGGCGAGATAAAGTGCAATACAAAGCACACCCGGCCTAGCAAAAGAGCATGCAGGCTCGGAGGAAACACGACCAAAAGGGGCTGCACATCCCTATGATGCAGCAGACGCGGACGATGGAGCTCGAGACGCCGAGTAGACGAAGCGAAGGCGTAGAAGAGCTTGGTGATGGAGATCAGAGTCCTGTTGTCTTCCCAGCGGGGCCCATTGCTGCAAGAACACGATGCATTTGAAGATAGCGTCAGCAGGGTGGGAGGGAAACACTCCCTCAATAGTAAACTTGTTACGAGTATTGCCAAAGAGCCCATAGCATGGCCGCCGCACATGTCCACATGACCCAACGCGAAGGGCCATGGACGAAGGACAGAGAGGACACCAACTCGGAGCGGGAGCGTGGATCCCAATCCACGCCCGCGGCCTCACGAACCGCACTCCAGGCAAAACACGCCAAAGAGCACCGGAAGAAAGCGTGGTCTGCATCTTCCGGGACACCACACAAAGCACAAGGACCGGAGGTAGGGCCATTGCGTTTAGCTATATTGATAGAGGTAGGAAGGCGATCTTGGCAAAGTTGCCAGAGGAAGACCTTTATCTTGAGCGGAATTTTAGCCTTCCAAAGCCCCGTAGCAGCCGAAGGGACATGATCGCGGGATAGCTCTTTATATAGGGAACTGACAGTGAATTTGCCAGAGCTCGTAAGTCTCCAAGAGACCGAGTCGGCGGAGTTCGATAGGTTAACATCCGCGATCAAAGCCCGAAGGCGATCCCAATCCAGCAGCTCCGGCCCCGAGAGCTCCCTTCTGAAGTAGATTGGAGGTGGGGCGGAGGTAAGAGCCGAAGCAACCAGTTGGTTGGGCTCGACCGTGATGCCATAAAGGTGGCGAAACTCCGACCACAGGGGCTGATTGCCAATCCAAAGGTCGAGCCAAAAGCGCGTCGAGCGCCCGTTGTTAACCGCAAACCTCGCGCCCCTGGCGAAGAATGGTTTGAGGGCTTGGATTGAGTTCCAGAAAGGAGACCCATGAGGTGCCGCCTTGAAGAAGTTTCCGTTCGAGAAGTATTTCGCACGAAGGAGGTCAGCCCAGAGTCCAGTCTCTCCCTGAGACAGCTTCCAGATCCACTTGCACATGAGTGCAACATTCATCAACTTAGAGTTGATGATCCCGAGGCCCCCTGGGCTTTGGGACGACAAACGGCTTGCCATTTAACCATATGGTACTTCCGTTTAGGTCCCGCTCCTTCCCAAAAGAAACGTGCCCTTGGGGTGTCCATTTTGGTGTGGAACCCATCAGCCAACAAGAACAGACCCATGGCAAACATAGGCAGTGATGAGAGGCTGGAGTTAGTTAATATAAGTCTAGCCCCTGAAGACATAAATCTACCTCTCCACGGACAAACCCGGTCCGCAACCTTGGTGTTGAGAGGTTCCCAATAGGCAATCGAGCATTTCTTCGCCGCGATCGGGAGACCGAGGTAATTGAATGGGAACTGCCCAAGTTTGCAGTTAAGCAAGTTGGCTACCCGCTGACTTTCGGCCGTCCATCCCTATGGACACCACTTCACATTTGTGAAAGTTTATTTTTAACCCAGACATGAGTTCAAAGCACAAGAGAATGGCTTTGACCGTTGCGATACTATGTGTATCCAGCTCAAAAAGAAGGAGAGTGTCATCCGCATACTGCAGGTGCGACACGCCCCCTGTAATCAGGTTGCCTGCCACTCCCCTGATGTGGCCAGCCAAACGGGCTTTGTCTAGCATGGCACCAAAGCGTCTTCCACAAAGTTAAAAAGCAGCGGCGAGCCTGGATCCCCTTGACGCAACCCTCGCTTGTTGCGGAAGAAGTTCCCTACTTCTCCGTTCACCGCAATAGCCATTTGGCCCCCCGAGACCAGTTACATCATGCGGTGAACCCAAACCGACGAGAAACCTCGGTCCAGGAGGACTTCTCGAAGAGACTCCCAGTTCACTCGATCGTACGCCTTCTCAAAGTCTAATTTTAGAAGAATTGCCGGTTGGCGGGATCGTTTGAGCGAGTGAACGATCTCTTGGAGGGCCAACAGTCCCTCCAAGATGTTGCGACCACGAATAAATGTCGACTGGTTCCTACTAATGATACGGTGAGCAATCGAAGACAAGAGCGTAGAACAAGCCTTAGCACATATTTTAAACGGGACGTTAATCAGCGCAATCGGGCGAAAAAGCCTAATATGATCCGCACCTGGAACTTTGGGGATAAGAGAGAGAATCCCAAAGTTCAGGCGAGAGATATCTACTGTACCCCGCATAAACCCATTACAAACGTCGAAAATTGGTCCCGTAAGCACTTGCCAAAACCGTTTAAACATCGCCACCGTCCAACCATCCGGACCGGGGGCGGTGTCCGTTTTCATCCCCAGAGCTGCCTTGTCAATCTCTTCAGGGAGGAAGGCCAACCCCAGGCCCTCGTTTTCCTCGTCCGTGATCCGCAACATGGGGTCCCAAACATCCGACTGCAGCCTAGCACGGGACTCCTCCCTGGAGCCCATGAGTTGGATGTAGAACTCGTAGATGTGACGGAGGATGTCCTGTTGATGCAAGAGGAGCCCCTACTCGGATTGCAATCTAAGAATGGCGCACTTGCGGCGCCGGCCATTTGCGTAGGCATGGAAGTATTTAGTGTTCGCGTCACCCTTGAGCGTCCACTTGAGACCACCGCGCCTACACCAGTACTCCTCCTCTGCTCGTAGGAGGGACTCGACCTAGGCTTCTAAAGCGTAACGCTGAGCCCAGTCTTGCTCCGAGAAGACCTGCACATCTGCCGCCGCATCCAATTGTGCGAGGTCCGCGGTCAAACACAATCGGAGCGGCTTATCTTCGCGGCCTTGGTTGGCCCCCCACCCCTTGAGGGCCGCACGCAAACCCGCCCCTACGGAAATCCAGAACTCCATCGGCCCGCGCGTGTGCCCGACCCGGGCGACACAGTTCTCCCATTTGGTGAGGAAGATTTGCTCAAAGTCTGGAGACTCTAACCACGCGGTTTCAAAGAAAAAGCGAGGGATGCGTTTTAATCTCTCCTCCCCTGAGGAGAGGATTAGGGGAACATGGTCCGACCCTATCCTCGTTTCAGCGTGTAGAGAGCACACGGGGAAAAGCACCTCCCACTCCGCGGACATAAACACCCGGTCTAGCACCGACCGGACCGGCGTAAGCTGCTTGTTGGTCCAAGTGTAGCGTGTGCGCACCCGAGCCACTTCCCTAAGGGCCATAGAAGCGATTGCATTATTAAACAAGGACACCCTTGTCCAGTTAATGATGTCGTTATTCTTATCCGCACCCGAACGGATTAAGTTGAAATCGCCACCCACCAGCAGTGGCAAATTACGCACCCCCAAGGACGCAACCTTCTCCCGAAGTTCCCCCAGGAACTTCTGCGAGTGTGAGTGGTCGGCAGGGCCGTAAACTACAATAACCTCCCACTCGCGAAGAGTTGCGCGGTGGCGCACGTGTGTAGATAAGAAGAATCTACCAGCATCCCACGTCACCACCTCGCAGCACACGTGGTTGATGCCAAGCAACATGCCCCCCGAGTGCCCCACCGTCGGCACCCACTGCCACGCAAAACGCTCAAGAGGGTCGACAGCTAACAGATCCCGATGGTTAAAATCAGCCTTGATGGTTTCCTGCAAGCCTACTACGTCGATCCCCTCTTCACGAATGAATTCTTTTAACTGGGTCCGCCTCCCAGCGTGGCCGAAGCCCCGGATGTTCCAGAAGATGAAACGCATTAAATAATGTGATTGCGGAGGCGGCTACCGCGAGCGGTAACCGCTTTGGCCACTCGCCGTGTCTAGACAGGACGACAGGTTGAGGGGGACGGCGCAGCATCTACTGCTAAGTCCTCCTGATCAGGCGGCGCAACAGCCACGGATGAGAGACAAAAGCTCGCGCGCTTCACCCTCATCAGACATGACAACGCCACTATCCTCTAAGATCCCCCCTAGACACTCATCGGAAACTCGTCAAAGATCGTAAAACAGGGCATGGGATTACCTTCGATTTCCCGGTTCTTTTGAGCCAGCAAGAGTTGGGCGCGTTGGAGAGCTGGAAGGTTGCCCTTGGCGCCTTTTGAGCGCGAGCTTGGCCTCTCCTGCGTCGCCGGAGTCATCACCACCACCTTGGAGCTCTTGGCCGTGGATATGGTTGCCACCTTGGACACCTCCCCCCGAAGCGCGTCAGAGGCAGGGAGGGGAGTGGGCGACGAGGGACCACCAGCCGGGGCCCCAGGGGAGGCCAGCGCCATCATCACCGGGCGGAGTGAGGCAGGCTTGCCCGCACGAACCGAGGGTGGGCTCGTCGGCGCCACCAGGGTGGACTTGCGGCCCGCCGGCTTCTTGGGAAGCCGCGTCCCGCCCCCACCGAGGCCGGGCACAAACTTTGGGGAATGTGTGGAGAAGGCGTGCGATCACCCACCTCCACTGCCACCGGGGTGACAAGCATCGAGCGGCCCTCCGAGTCGCACGACGCCGAGACGCCCTTGTCGAGGTCGAGTCCGAGCGATAAGTTGGAGCCGTACTGGTTGAAGCCCGTCTCATTGCTGCCCACCACCACCTGACGCTCCTCTTGGTCCTTCGCGGCACCCACAGCCGGAGCCGCGGCCGGAGCATCCTTGTCCTTGAGCCCGAGCTTGTCCCAAGACGCGGTATCAATGGAGTCGTCACCCATGCTCGTGTCGCGGTCTTTGTCCTTGCCATCTGGCCCCTGGTCTGCGTTAGCTGGGGGAGGGGGAGGGGGAGCCACGCCCTGTAGGCCCCCGGTTTCGGCCTCCATCCGAAAGGTGAAGCCCTCACTGTTGAACCACACTTGGACGTACCCGCTTAGCTTGGCCGGGGAACGACGCGCGAAGCGCATCCACACTAGGCCTAGCCCCACCAGGGACACCTTGTCCACCTCCATTGGGCGCCCGATCATCAAAGTCCCAGCCATAAGGCGATCCACACAACGGTGCTTGGGCGGCACACCCCACAACTTGACCCATACGTCCGGCATGATCTCGGCCTTGGGCTCCTCCGAACGTGCTCCCTTGATTTCCGACATGATGTCGTTGAGGGAGAGGTACAGCTTGCCGATGCGTGTCGCCATCCGCAACATGGCCTTGTTGGGGAAGACAACCGAGAACAAGTCGTCGCCGATGGCCGTCACCTGCCAATCCCACTCCCCCTCGAAGAGGTAAGGGAGCTCCGCCTCCAGGAGAGGGATCGACAGCAGGCCAGGCGCCGCCGAGATAATCGCAGCGTCCGCCACCTGCGGGGCGCAGACCTCCTCGCCCTCCGTCTCCACATAGGGCAGGCAGAAGAATCCCTCGCCGGGGATGGCGTTGCCCATGATCTGGAGCAACAGAGGCCGCCCCCGCGTGGGACAGTGCGCCGACGTGTGTCCCTCCTCGTGGCAGACGATGCAAAGGGGCTTGAAGAGGCACATATTTTGGTAGTGCCCCACCCGGCCACACTTGAAGCACTCCGGCCCATCAAGCTCCTCCATTGGAATCGGGGCGTCGACCGAACCCTTCGAAGCCGACGGCCCGACCGCCAACTGCAGCAACGCCGAGCCGACCCCCTTTTGCTTCTGCTTCTTGGCCAATGGATCCCCAATCCGCTCACTGCTCGGAGGGAGCAGGGACTCCTTGCGCTTGAGCTCCTTCTTCTGCTCCAGGCCCCGGAGCCGATACTCCTCCTCCCTCTTCTTTTTGCGCTCGCGCTCCTCCTGCGCCTTCCTTTCTTGCTCCGCGAGCCACCAAGGAGGCGGCGGCCACCAGCCACCTTCCTCCGCCGGTGGCGCCGGCACCTTCGCTAGCGCCTTCGCCCGCAGATCTTGCTCGCGCCGACGCTCCGTCGCCGGGATCGGAGGCGACATAGGCGGCTTGTCCACGCAACGGGATCCCATCCGCACTACGGTGGCGAATGAGCAGGAGAGAGGAGGGGGAGAGGCGGAGCGATGCAGGCGGCGAGCGAGATGCCCGAAGCGCCGCACTTGAGAGGGGGAGGCAGGAAACCCTAGCGAAAGATCTAGGGCACCCTTTGGCAGCCACACCCACCTATATATAGGAGTGGGCGGCCGCGCCTCCACCTTCGCGGTGGGCCTGGGCCTACACACAGGCGCACACGAGGCCACAGGGCCAGGCTGGCCAGGCCCAAGCACTGGGGAGCGTCCCTGCACCCCCACTGGTAAAGAGACGGGCGGAACAGCCGTTGGGCCCCCCGGCCCACTCCCTGGTAGGCTGGGCCAGTCCACCAGGCCCAGCAAGGGCGCTGGCCCAGCCGATGGCTCTCCGGCAACCCTAGCCTGGATCCCCGGCTCCCTGCCCTGGGCATCCCCGCTGCCGTCGTCAACCCCTGTCAACGCCGGCGCGCACGCCGAGACCTGGAGCGGACCAGCCAGCACCAGATCCCTGCAACCTACCTCCGGCAGGACACACGAGCGGCCCTCTGGGCCCGCATCCACATCCTTCGGCGGACGCCAGATCCGCGGCGCCAGTTGCCGCCCGCCATGGCCACCAGGGGCAAAGGCGCGCCGCCGGCTAGCCACGAGGGAGCCCCCAAGCTCCTCCGCTCAGGCGACAAAGTCACCCACTGAGAGCGCCGCACGGGGCCTCGGCGAACCACCACCACCACTTACCTGGCTACTCACCTCCTCGTCGTTGCCGTCAGAGTCGATCCCCTCCAGCGCCCAGAACCTGCCGCCGGAGAGGGGCAGGGCGAGGGACCGCCCGTCGGACGGCACGCTCCATCGCGCGCGCCCCTCAGCAGGCCGCACCACCGTCTAGCCGCCCCCCGCCGCCACGGGCCCTCGAGCGTCGCCTTCCGCAGCATCGCCCCCCGTGTCGCCAGACCGAAACGCCATCACAATCACAGTCATATTTTCCTCAGCAGAATGATCTTAACCTCTGATAAAACCCAATTTAGCAGTGAACCAAGAAATCTAGCATTGAAGAAACCATATAGGCATATAATTCGGTACCATCAAAACAAATCAGACAAATAAAATTGAGTTCCATGCTACAATACAAGTAAGCAACCGTTCCCCATTACTATCACGTTGCAATTGCATCAAAGATCGAACGTGTGTAAAATAGTTCCAGGTCACTAGGCCTGCATACTAGCGCCGTCGCCGTGGCGCTCCATGACGCGACGCATGGCCAACAAAAGCCCAAAAGCTGTAATCTCCTATCACCCAGATGTCATACGGCAGTCCAATTAGCAGTGCATTGGGTCACAATTTGACAACAAAATGATGAGAAAAATAAAGCTGTCAGTTTCCACCACTTTTTTTGCTAATGTCTAATGTGAATCCCGACCATATCAACCAAACACACAAAATGCATATAGTAAGTTGGATTGTGACAAAATCTATTTCAAATTTGGACAAATACTACAATAATCGTCTCTCTTAGTGTTTGTTTCTCGCTAACAAACTTGCACAAGCATTTTGTGCAGGGCTCACACCTTCTTTTGTCCACTTCATGGATCCTTAGCATGTAGCAAGGTTCGGCTTCTCTCCAGTTGGTCTGTTAGTACATCCGTAATGTAGATACCCAAATCTATCAAAGGCTCTCATTTCTCCTCCTTAATTCAGTTATTATTAATTGGAAAAACAGCTTGGAGCCAAATAGAATGACCCAAACATTATATGAAACTAGTTCAGTATTGTTCACTTCTCCTGAAACTAGATCTGAACCTGTTGTGTCCAGCACCTGAAATGTATTCAGTGATGAATGTAGCAGAGGCATGCTTGGTTGTTCTTCCCTAATATCTCAATTCAGCCGAGGGAACTACAAATGGCTCGGGCGTAATACATCAAAACCAATCATGCTTGACTGCCGATCCGCAAGGTCATCCAACTTTGCAGTGTTGTCACGCATGTGACCATGTACACTCACACCAGGTTTATGATATTGTGAAGTAGGAAGCATAATATGTATGTTCCTGCATTTCCACACATTTTCAGCGCTGAGGACAAGCAAAAATTGCATGGAAGGGTTGCATACTACTCCTACTGCTGACTGAATCAGCATTGTTGACAGTCATGTGACGTTGCTGCTAATCCAGATATTATATCAGGACTTTGTTAGGCATATATTTCCTCAGCAGAATGATCTTAGCCTCTGATAAAACCCAATTTAGCAGTGAACCAAGCAAATCTAGCACTGAAGAAACCATATAATCATATAATTCCGTACCATCAGAACAAATCAGACAAATAAAATCGAGTTCCATGCTGCAATAAGTAAGCAATCATCCCCAATTACTACCAGTTTGCAATTGCATCAAAGATCGAACGTGTGTAAAACAGTTTCAGGTCACTAGGCCTGCATACTGGCGCCGTCGCCGTGGCGCTCCATGACCCGGCGCATGGCCAGCGCCGCCGCCTCGCTTGCCCGCAGCGTCCCACTCGCCATGAGCGCTGCCGAGAGGGTCAGCCATAGCCAGCGCTGCTGCCGCGGCGGCTTTCTCCGGAGTCTGCTTCTCGACCTTCTTCTCTTCTTCTTGCTTGGAAGAAGAGCCAGTGGGCGCTGCACTAGCAGCAGCGGCAGTTGTAGAACTTGTAGGTGTTTTGCTGGCCGCCGTCGCCGTCGCAGCCGTTGGCTTCGGCACGGAGAGTGAGGCCGGAGTGGGCACGAACTGCATGGTATGGGGCACTGCATTGTTCCTGAGCGTGGCCTCGAGGTTCTGGATCATGGGCATGATCATGGCGCCCATGGGACTGGACATGACCTCGTTGGGCAGGTTCAGTATTAGTCGGGGATCCCGGCCCCGCGCTACCGCCTGTCTGTTGGAGATGCTCTTACAGATGAAGAAGCTTGTGAGGAGTGGACCTTGGCAGTGGTGGAGCTAGAAAATTTGCAAGGCCTAGGCATACCGCAAGTCACTTTTTTTGAAAGTACTTTACTTTACTTTACTTTGATGTACCAAGAACCATATGTATCACATATTTTGATAAATGCACTATATGTACTAGTGTTTCATAGATCATCATATATCTTTTTTTCGGAAGGATCATAGATCATATATTTAACAAAAAAGTGGGCACCACTCACCCAACTAACCATTTTGGTACCCTAGGGGAGGCGATCGGTTGATTGCAGGCTATGACTGTTCGCGTGTTCCTCTGATTGATCGAGCGCTGGAGATGCACGCCCACGACAGCCTTTGCTGCGCTAGGGCAAGACACTCCTCCTAGCACTATAAAAGCAACCCACCCACAACATAGTATCTCCCCTCCTCTCGGCACCAGCAACAAGCACACGCAAAACTCACAAGCAGCTAGCTAGTTAGCTATGACCCAAATGCTAGTGCTCGGTGTTGTTGCCATATTCCTCACCTCCTTGGCTTCTCTCCAGTTGGTCTGTTAGTGCATCCGTAATGTAGATACCCAAATCTATCAAAGGCTCTCCTTTCTCCTCCTTAATTCAGTTATTATGACTTGGAAAAACAGCTTGGAGCCAAATAGAATGACCCAAACATTATATGAAACTAGTTCAGTATTATTCACTTCTCCTGAAACTAGATCTGAACCTGTTGTGTCCAGCACCTGAAATGTATTCAGTGATGCATGTAGCAGAGGCATGCTTGGTTGTTCTTCCCTAATATCTCAATTCAGCTGAGGAAACTACAAATGGCTCAGGCGTAATACAGCAAAACCAATCATGCTTGACTGCCGATCCGCAAGTTCATCCAACTTTGCAGTGTTGTCACGCATGTGACCATGTACACTCACACCAGGTTTATGATATTGTGAAGGAGGAAGCATAATATGTATGTTCCTGCATTTCCACACATTTTCAGCGCTGAGGACAAGCAAAAATTGCACGGAAGGGTTGCATACTACTCCTACTGCTGATTGAATCAGCATTGTTGACAGTCATATGACTTTGCTGCTAATCCAGATATTATATCAGGACTTTGTTAGGCATATATTTCCTTAGCAGAATTATCTTAGCCTGGGATAAAACCCAATTTAGCAATGAACCAAGAAATCTAGCACTGAAGAAACCATGTAATCATATAATCCCGTACCGTCAAAACAAATCAGACAAATAAAATTGAGTTCCATGCTGCAATACAAGTAAGCAATCGTTCCAATTACTATCAGATTGCAGTTGCATCAAAGATCGAACGTGTGTAAAATAGTTCCAGGTCACTAGGCCTGCATACTGGCGCCGTCGCCGTGGCGCTCCATGACCCGGTGCATGGCCAGCGCCGCCGCCTCGCTCACCCGCAGCGTGCCGCTCGCCATGAGCGCCGCAAACTCCCTCATCACCTCCTCCTGCACCTTCCCCCTCGCGCTGCCAAGAGGGTCAGCCACAGCCGGCGCTGCTGCCGCCGCCGCGGCTTTCTCCGGAGTCTGCTTCTCGACCTTCTTCTCTTCTTCCTGCTTGGAAGAAGAGCCAGTGGGCGCTGGACTAGCAGCAGCGGCAGTTGTAGAACTTGTAGGTGCTTTGCTGGTCGCCGTTGGCTTCGGAACAGAGAGTGAGGCCGGAGTGGGCACGAACTGCATGGTCTGGGGCGCGGCGTTGTTCCTGAGCGTGGCCTCGAGGTTCTGGATCATGGGCATAATCATGGCACCCATGGGGCTGGACATGACCTCGTTGGGCAGGTTCAATATGGGGATCCCGGCCCCGCGCTACCGCCCGTCTGTTGGAGATGCTCTTACAGATGAAGAAGCTTGTGAGGAGTGGACCTTGGCAATGGCGGAGCTAGAAAATTTGCAAAGCCTAGGCAGACCGCAAGTCACTTTTTTTAAGTACTTTACTTTGATGTACCAAGAACCATATGTATCGCATATTTGGATAAATGCACTCTATGTACTAGTGTTTCATAGATCATGTATCTTTTTTCAGAAGGATCATAGATCATATATTTAACAAAAAAGTGGGCACTACTCACACAACTAACCATTTTGGTACCCTAGGGGAATCGATCGATTGATTGCAGGCTATGACTGTTCGCGTGTTCCTCTGATTGATCGATCGCTGGAGATGCGCGCCCACGACAGCCTTTGCTGCGCTAGGGCAAGACACTCCTCCCAGCACTATAAAAAGCAACCCACCCACAACATAGTATCTCCCCTCCTCTCGGCACCAGCAGCAAGCACACGCAAAACTCACAAGCAGCTAGCTAGTTAGCTATGACCCAAATGCTAGTGCTCGGTGTTGTTGCCATATTCCTCACCTCCTTGCTCCTCCTGGCAATGTCGACATCACGAGTAGAGAAGCACCTCCACCTCATAGGCTCCCTCCCACACGTCTCCCTCGGAGACCTTTCAAGGAAGCACGGTATGCTCCTCCGACTCGGCGCCATTCCCACGCTCGTCGTGTCTTCCCCTAGCGCGGCAAAGGCTGTCCTGCGCACCCAAGACAACGTCTTCGCGTCCCGGCCTCCCTTCACCATAGGCGACATCCTCTACACAGGCTCCACCAACATCGCCAATGCCCCCTACGGCGAAGCGACTACTTGTGGCAGATGAGAAAGATCATCACAACCCATGTGCTCACGGCCAGGAAGGTCCGCTCCAACCTCACCTCCTGCGAGAAGGAGGTGCGACTTGTCCTGGCCAAGCTAACGCAGGCACATTCTTGTTTGTTCTTCCCCAATATCCCAACTTCTCTTGCATATTAGTTTTGACACCTATGGCAACTATCAACCATGATAAAACAAAAACAGGAAACTACAGATGGCTCGGGGCATGCCCGACTCTGCTCACCAATTTATATGGAAAAAAGATGCCTTTGCACTGTACCTACTAGTTCATCCAACATGTGCCAATGGACACTCACATAAGGTTTATGATGTTGTTCAGGAGGAAGCAAAATATGTGTGTTCCTACATTTTCCACTTTTTCAGCGCATGACTGAGGACCAAGTATGGCACTATCGTCCGTATCGTGAAGCAAAAATTGCATGGAAGGGTTGCCCTGCTTATACTAGTCCTACTGCTGATTGAATTTGGCAACATTATTGACAGTCATATTTATTTTTTTAGAACATAGACGCCAGGGACGTCCGGCTTTAACTTAATAAAGCCCACAACATAGGCAGCGTGCATGACATAACAAACCAACACTCGGAACCACGAAACAAATCTCGCAGGGTCTAAGATCACAGCAACGTAAGAGAACGGCGGCGAGATAAAGTGCAATACAAAGCACACCCGGCCTAGCAAAAGAGCATGCAGGCTCGGAGGAAACATGACCAAAAGGGGCTGCACATCCCTATGATGCAGCAGACGCGGACGATGGAGCTCGAGACGCCGAGTAGACGAAGCGAAGGCGTAGAAGAGCTTGGTGATGGAGATCAGAGTCCTGTTGTCTTCCCAGCGGGGCCCATTGCTGCAAGAACACGATGCATTTGAAGATAGCGTCAGCAGGGTGGGAGGGAAACACTCCCTCAATAGTAAACTTGTTACGAGTATTGCCAAAGAGCCCATAGCATGGCCGCCGCACATGTCCACATGACCCAACGCGAAGGGCCATGGACGAAGGACAGAGAGGACACCAACTCGGAGCGGGAGCGTGGATCCCAATCCACGCCCGCGGCCTCACGAACCGCACTCCAGGCAAAACACGCCAAAGAGCACCGGAAGAAAGCGTGGTCTGCATCTTCCGGGACACCACACAAAGCACAAGGACCGGAGGTAGGGCCATTGCGTTTAGCTATATTGATAGAGGTAGGAAGGCGATCTTGGCAAAGTTGCCAGAGGAAGACCTTGATCTTGAGCGGAATTTTAGCCTTCCAAAGCCCCGTAGCAGCCGAAGGGACATGATCGCGGGATAGCTCTTTATATAGGGAACTAACAGTGAATTTGCCAGAGCCCGTAAGTCTCCAAGAGACCGAGTCGGCGGAGTTCGATAGGTTAACATCCACGATCAAAGCCCGAAGGCGATCCCAATCCAGCAGCTCCGGCCCCGAGAGCTCCCTTCTGAAGTAGATTGGAGGCGGGGCGGAGCTAAGAGCCGAAGCAACCAGTTGGTTGGGCTCGACCGCGATGCCATAAAGGTGGCGAAACTCCGACCACAGGGGCTGATTGCCAATCCAAAGGTCGAGCCAAAAGCGCGTCGAGCGCCCGTTGTTAACCGCAAACCTCGCGCCCCTGGCGAAGAATGGTTTGAGGGCTTGGATTGAGTTCCAGAAAGGAGACCCATGAGGTGCCGCCTTGAAGAAGTTTCCGTTCGAGAAGTATTTCGCACGAAGGAGATCAGCCCAGAGTCCAGTCTCTCCCTGAGACAGCTTCCAGATCCACTTGCACATGAGTGCAACATTCATCAACTTAGAGTTGATGATCCCGAGGCCCCCTGGGCTTTGGGACGACAAACGGCTTGCCATTTAACCATATGGTACTTCCGTTTAGGTCCCGCTCCTTCCCAAAAGAAACGTGCCCTCCGGGTGTCCATTTTGGTGTGGAACCCATCAGCCAACAAGAACAGACCCATGGCAAACATAGGCAGTGATGAGAGGCTGGAGTTAGTTAATACAAGTCTAGCCCCCGAAGACATAAATCTACCTCTCCACGGACAAACCCGGTCCGCAACCTTGGTGTTGAGAGGTTCCCAATAGGCAATCGAGCATTTCTTCACCGCGATCGGGAGACCGAGGTAATTGAATGGGAACTGCCCAAGTTTGCAGTTAAGCAAGTTGGCTACCCGCTGACTTTCGGCCGCGTCCATCCCTATGGACACCACTTCACATTTGTGAAAGTTTATCTTTAACCTAGACATGAGTTCAAAGCACAAGAGAATGGCTTTGACCGTTGCGATACTATGTGTATCCAGCTCAAAAAGGAGAGTGTCATCCGCATACTGCAGGTGCGATACGCCCCCTGTAATCAGGTTGCCTGCCACTCCCCTGATGTGGCCAGCCAAACGGGCTTTGTCTAGCATGGCGCCAAAGCGTCTGCCACAAAGTTAAAAAGCAGCGGCGAGCCTGGATCCCCTTGACGCAACCCTCGCTTGTTGCGGAAGAAGTTCCCTACTTCTCCGTTCACCGCAATAGCCGTTTGGCCCCCCGAGACCAGTTGCATCATGCGGTGAACCCAAACCGACGAGAAACCTCGGTCCAGGAGGACTTCTCGAAGAGACTCCCAGTTCACTCGATCGTACGCCTTCTTAAAGTCTAATTTTAGAAGAATTGCCGGTTGGCGGGATCGTTTGAGCGAGTGAACGATCTCTTGGAGGGCCAACGGTCCCTCCAAGATGTTGCGACCACGAATAAATGTCGACTGGTTCCTACTAATGATACGGTGAGCAATCAAAGACAAGCGCGTAGAACAAGCCTTAGCACATATTTTAAATGGGACGTTAATCAGCGCAATCGGGCGAAAAAGCCTAATATGATCTGCACCTGGAACATTGGGGATAAGAGAGAGAACCCCAAAGTTCAGGCGAGAGATATCTACCGTACCCCGCATAAACCCATTACAAACGTCGAAAATTGGTCCCGTAAGCACTTGCCAAAACCGTTTAAACATCGCCACCGTCCAACCATCCGGACCGGGGGCGGTGTCCGTTTTCATCCCTAGAGCTGCCTTGTCAATCTCTTCAGGGAGGAAGGCCAACCCCAGGCCCTCGTTTTCCTCGTCCGTGATCCGCAACACGGGGTCCCAAACATCCGACTGCAGCCTAGCACGGGACTCCTCCCTGGAGCCCATGAGTTGGATGTAGAACTCGTAGATGTGACGGAGGATGTCCTGTTGATGCAAGAGGAGCCCCTACTCGGATTGCAATCTAAGAATGGCGCACTTGCGGCGCCGGCCATTTGCGTAGGCATGGAAGTATTTAGTGTTCGCGTCACCCTTGAGCGTCCACTTGAGACCACCGCGCCTACACCAGTACTCCTCCTCTGCTCGTAGGAGGGACTCGACCTAGGCTTCTAAAGCGTAACGCTGAGCCCAGTCTTGCTCCGAGAAGACCTGCACATCTGCCGCCGCATCCAATTGTGCGAGGTCCGCGGTCAAACGCAATCGGAGCGGCTTATCTTCGCGGCCTTGGTTGGCCCCCCACCCCTTGAGGGCCGCACGCAAACCCGCCCCTACGGAAATCCGGAACTCCATCGGCCCGCGCGTGTGCCCGACCCGGGCGACACAGTTCTCCCATTTGGTGAGGAAGATTTGCTCAAAGTCTGGAGACTCTAACCACGCGGTTTCAAAGAAAAAGCAAGGGATGCATTTTAACCTCTCCTCCCCTGAGGAGAGGATTAGGGGAACATGGTCCGACCCTATCCTCGTTTCAGCGTGTAGAGAGCACACGGAGAAAAGCATCTCCCACTCCGCGGACATAAACACCCGGTCTAGC